TTAGCCCTTTAATCACAAAAACAAAAGAAAACAACACAAAGTCAAAACTATAAAATTAATCCAAGAAATTTAAAAACAAACAATAAGAAAAAAAATTAACCGATGAAGAATATAAAAGGCACCAATATCACACTAGCAATTAAAAAACATCAATGAAGAATAAAAAATCCAACAACCCTAAAATACAATGATTAAATCTTCCTTAAAATAGTCAAGTTTCTTATTAACTCTATATCATCGACGGCATCAATGGAATAAAGAATAAAATTGACAAGTTATCTATAAAATTCGTAATGATCATAAACCTATAAAGAAAATAAGAGGACATTAAAAAAAAATCTCACTTTTTTTTTTTTTTTGGGAAATTGTAACAAACATACTGTTATCCAGCATATGTCAATAGCTAAGTACATAAACAAAAAACATCAATTAGAAAAATAATTAAAAAATCAACAAAATCCATTATAAAGAACAAAAAAAGCAAAAAATTTATTAAAAAAAGTGACCAACAATCTATACTATTTCAAAAACATCAATCAAACTATTACATAAAATAAATAATTTATTTTAATGTATCAAAAAATTACAACTGAGCAAGCAATGTAAGTCAATAGATTAATAAATTGAAAGAATAAAAAATCACCTACTTTGTAGACAGTCCAATTTGGCCAAGCTTTCTAACAACATAAAACAAAATTATAGTCAAACTCACATGACAATAGTGAAAGTTAAGAAAAATGAAAAAAAAAAACAAACTCAAATGAAGATCCAGCGCAGCTGCATATTTTGTTATGTGCATCCAAGATTTCTTTCTAGCAAGATCATCACTATTAATTGTTGATTCTCAGCAATTCATTCAAAAAAATTTATTCCATTTAATTTTCATATTCAAACACAAAGCAAGTAAAAGAAATAAAGAATTTGTATGATGAATGTTTCAGCAGAGCTAAAATTTTATTTCTTCTATTACTCAAAAGCAAGGATAGAGAAAGAGGGAGACATGCAATGTTTTATTTTTTCCTGGTATGTACTGGTAATAAGAAAGAGAGTGGATTGGTAAAATTTAGAGATAAGATTGATTAAGTGGCAATTACTTATTGGTTACAGAGATTACGTTATCTTTATTTAATATTTAACAAATTAGAGAAGGAATAACAGTGTGATTTAATTTATTTTATTTTTATGGTACTCGTCTGCAAGCCCCTCTCTTGATCGGTTGAGGAAAGAAAATATAGCTGAAAAAAAGAAGAAGAAAAAAAAGCAATTTATGACAGCTGTAATTAATGCTCTGTGAAGAGAACAAACAAAATGACAAAAAAGATAATTAGCAAGAGAATATACCTTGACAAAAAAGGACATAAAAGAAATTAGCTAAGGAAGGGAGTGGGGGCAAAAAAGAGTGCAAACCTACTAATAAAAAAAGATTGGCACAACGCCATATCTGTGAGGCAGAAAGAAAGAAACAAAGAAAATCAAGCTACCTGCATTAAATGTTCCATTAACGAAGAAGCAAAATGACTTGAAAGAATAAAAAACATCGAAAGAACATAAAGCAAACTAAGGTAAAAAAGTAATAACACAAAGACACTTGATAACATAAAAGAAATAAAACAAGAAAGAGAAGGGTAAGAAAAAAAAAAACTACATTTTCAAAAAATAAATAGAGACAAATTTAATACTAGAAGCTTGCATTCAAAGAAAAAACACTACAAACTAGATAAAAAAATAAGCAAACATCAACATAAAATGAAAGACGATCGAACAGTAGATAACAAATAAAAAGGTTGAACAATCCGATTGAGTCAGAATCAATATATAATGACTCTTGAGTGTTATTTTATATTAAATGAATGATAAACTATCCAGCTCTTTTAGTTAATTAGCCAGTTAATTTGTTTGTTTGTTTGTTTGCTTTTTTTTTAAAAAAAATGATCAGGTAACTCCCTGTTTATTATTATTATTATTATTATTATTTTAGTATGTGTCGGACATATGTTGAAAATAAGAGAGACACGTTTCCACCTTTTAAATTCTCAGCTGATACACGCATGAACAAAGCAGCCTTTTCCTCCTCCCTTTCCTTTCCTATGTCAATTCTAGTCCTTTCCTATTTTAATCATTTTCTTAATTAATTCTTTTTGTGTTTTTGAATCAACAATTTATATATATATATAGTAGTCGTGCACTGTAGACTATGTGGACAACCATATAGTCAAGTAGTTCACTATTACTGGGAACTTGTTGTGGTCTATTATTGATGGACAAGTGACAGGCTCCTCATATTTGTTACCCCATGCCACCTATCCATCCAGTGGTAGTCCATTACTGATCAAAGAATTGGGAATATAGTTTACATTTTCACGAGCGAATTTGAGTTTAAGTCGTCTTTAAATTTAATTAGAATGACGGGCCAAAAACCAGTCCGAAAAGCTGGCTTGAAAAATACCAAAAAAGGAAATATCAAGAAGTGATATAAAAGATAGTGGCAGTCATAATTAGGCATAGTGGGAGTCATAATTCTTTTGCACGGCCCACATTGAGACTAAATAATTCATTTGCATGTCTGGAAGCCCCACGAGCAGAGCATGTGCAGATAACTTTGAGCAAGAATTTGCAATCAGAACTGGGTCATGTCTGTCCCTCTATGATCAATTATTATTTCTCATCTCCATTATGCAAAACAGGAAAACAAAAGATGCTATCAATAAAAAGGAAAAGAAGATACTACATCCTTTTTTACCGACTTAATAATGGGTTAATATTTTCATTTTATTTTTATATAATAAATCAATTTTTCAATATGATTATAATTTTTAAAATGTTACTAATTTGTTATTATTATTTAAAACAGTTTCTAATATGTTATTTCAATCAATTTTTCTAATCAAACTATCCGAAAATATATATCATATGATTTGCATATGTTTTTTACTTTGATAAAAATATCACTTACAGCTTAATATGTTAAGTTTCTAATCTATATTTATATAATAGATTGAGTTTTCAATATGTTTTTATACTAAAAAGTCTACTATATTATTGTTCTTAGTTTTCCTACTAATGTGTTGCAAATTTTATGTTAATTAAAAATATATAAAAATAATTAGTACAAGTTATTACGTAACTATTCAAGATATTGTCATTTAACACATTTTTAATACGAAAGAGTCCATTACATTATAATAATTCACTTATGTATAATATTGAACTAGTTGATATAATATTTACCAATATATTAAATCATATTTATAAATAAAAAATGTGAATCATGTGCGAGAAGACAAACATGCTTAAGAGACTAATTAACAATTACTTAATATAATTATTTTTTTAATTACATGCTTAAGACATTAATTAAAAATTAATTAAATGTAATTATTTATTTTTTAATTTCTTGAATAGTTGCATACTAAATTGTTTGATTATTTTTATATATTTTTAATTAATAAAAAATACTATAGTGCAATAAATCATTAGAACAATTATCAATAATAATATAATAGATTTTTTTAGCATTAATAATAGATTGAAAACAAAACTCAATCAATTATATAAAGATAAATAAAAAATTTAACATATTAAACTATATAGAGCATTTTTGTTAAAGAAAAAATCATATATAGGTCATGTGATTTTTTTAGTAGTTTGATCAAAAAAATTGATTAGAAAAATAAATGAGAACTTAGCTCAAATAATATAATAAAAATAAACTGAAGGTATTTTAAAATTTAAAAACATGAAAAAATTGGATTTATTATATAAGAATATAATTGAACCGTGTTTACAATATTTTTGAATTGCTCATGATTTTGACGTTTTCTAGAATATGAAAGAGGAAGAGAATATTCATCAATGCAACGGTTGGTGTTGACTTGGTCTCTCTGTTAGCACGTGGATGACCTCAACTGACCATCCTTCTAGATGACTGAATCTCTACTCCATAATTAATTTCAGACCTTTCTTGCAGATTTGTTTGACTTTTTTTACTTTTAAATACCTAAATTGGATGTAAGTGATGTCATATTTTTCCCTGTTCTTGTACTAGTCCTTTCCCAGGCTTTCAATGATTTGATCTTTCTGTCACTCTCGTTCACGAACTCTCATGCTAACTCTCCTTTCAGCCATAAGAGAAATAAAAAGTTAGAGGTACCAAATTTATTAAACATAATTAATAGTTGCCAACCGGAATACACCAATATATATTAACCTAATTACTATATAAATATAACAGTATATACTACCAAAATAATGATCATAAAATGTATTTTCTCAAGTGTGCAGTAGAGTTTTATGAAATACTAGTATCCAGCTACAATCATTTTTAAGAAAAGCATAGTTTTTCAAAATGGATGTCGTCCATGTTTTAAGCCTCATTCTGTACTGAAGTGTTTTCTAACAGTCACTGAAAATTTTTGGCATGAATTAAATCAATGATTCTCGTAAATAAAAAATTTTATATTACTTCAAGAATAATTATTGATAGTTATTATAAACATGAAGATGATAGAAAAAAAAATACTTTTAACCTAAGTGTCTTTATGAGAAACTATACAAAAAAAAAAAACACACATCCGTACCTATATAAAAATTAATAACAATATTTTTAATTAAGTATTTATTTTTATTTTTTTATTTTTACATGAAGTAAATATTGATAATTTTTTTAGAGTAATATAAAATTCCCCCTTCTAGAATTCCTAGTCACGGCACTCTAGAAAGCAGCCCTCAAATTAAAGATTGTTTATACTTAAGTTTAATTTTGTTCTTTATTATTTTTCTCTTCTTTTTGTCACTATCTACTTATGACGGAACAAGTATTGATAAATAATTTTAGAGGAATATATAATTCCTCCCTTCTAGAACGCCTAGTTGCGGCACTCTGGAAAGTAGCCTCAAATTAAATGCAATGCCTTCCCTATTGATCGAGCTTATTTATATAGACAGTGAATCCAACCTTGTGCATAGCTTGTCTGCAAATCACTTGTTAATTTCAACTCAACATGGATCCTTGGTTCCTCATCCTCATTTCTATCTCCCTATCCATCTCCATCTCTGGCCTTCTCAAATTCGTTTTCAACCGAAATTTTATCCACAAGAGTCCTACTCACCACAAACTCCCTCCAAGCCCCCAATCCATTCCAGTAATCGGCAACCTCATATGGCTCCGCCGCATATCTGCCTCTAATATCCAATCCATTCTCCACTCACTCCATGCCAAGTTTGGCCCCATTCTAACCATCTACTTAGGCTCTCGCCCTTTTATCTTTATAGCCGACCGCTTCCTCGCTCACAAGGCCTTAATCCAAAATGGTGCAATTTTGGCTGACCGTCCACCAGTTTCTGCTACTCAGAAAATTATCAGCAATAATCAGCAAATTGTTAGTCTTGCTTTCTATGGCCCGACTTGGCGTCTCCTGCGGCGTAACCTTACTGAAAACTTTGTCCATCCTTCCTGCGCGAAATCTTTCTCTCATTCGCGCCGGCGGGTGCTAAAAATCCTTAAGAATCGCCTGGAATCCCAAGAAAAATCTGGTCAGCCTATTTGTGTAAGGGAGCACTTTCTCTATGCCATGTTTTGCTTGTTAGTCATAATATGCTTTGGCGATAACGTTGATGAAGACCAGATTAAACAAATCGAGGAAGTTGAGCGACGAGCGTTTTTGAATTTTCAAAAATTTAATATACTCGACTTATGGCCAAGAGTGACCAAGATCGTGTTGCGTAGGCGTTGGGAGGAATTCTTTCAGCTACTTAAATTGAAACATGATGTAGCAATCCCATTAATAAGAGCAAGAAAGAAGTTGCAAGAGGAAGAGAAGACAAGCATGGATGCTCATCATGATCATGTTGTATCTTATGTTGATACATTATTAGCTCTGGAACTTCCTGATGAAAAAAGAAGTCTCAGTGAGGAGGAAATTGTTAACTTATGCAGCGAGTTTCTAAATGCGGGCACTGATACTACTACAACTGCCTTGGAATGGATCATGGCAAATTTGGTCAAATACCCAAAAATTCAAGAAAAGTTATTCATGGAGATTAAAGGGGTTGTTGGAAATGGAGATCAGGAGGAGGTAAACGAATCTGATTTGAAAAAGATGCCGTATTTGAAAGCGGTGATTTTAGAAGGCCTAAGGCGCCATCCTCCTGCACGGCTTTTGCTTCCACATGCGGCGACGGAGGATGTTGTTTTGAGTAATGAATATTTGATACCAAAGAATGCGTCCGTAAATTTCCTGATTGGTGAGATGGGGTGGGATCCAAAGGCGTGGGAAGATCCCATGGCATTCAAGCCGGAAAGGTTTCTGAACCAGGATAATGGAACTAGGCAAGAATTTGATGTCACTGGTAGTAGAGAGATCAAGATGATGCCATTTGGTGCAGGGAGGAGAATTTGTCCCGGTCATCAATTAGCAACGCTTCATTTGGAGTATTATGTGGCTAATTTGATTTGGAAATACGAGTGGAAGGCTGTGGATGGAGACGCCGTTGATTTGTCTGAGAAGACAGAGCGTACAGTAGTGATGAAAAATCCATTGCAGGTCCACTTATCCCCAAGATAAAAAAATTAAGCATTTTCTCATGTTCTAGGTAGCAGTGCGTGTATTCTTTTTCTCACGTTGTAGGTACGTCACTCTACCATCATGGATTGATATTTGATAGTTGTCCCGCACGACGCTCAAATAAACTAGTATTATCGACTGCAGTTATCTTCATAACAGTCTTTGATGCCACCATCTCCAAATTAATTAAGTTCAGAAAGAAAGCTCTTTCAACTTTATAAAACCTTATACTTTTGTTCATAAGTTCCTCATTATTACCTCAAAAACCTGTTTTAAGAAAAGAAGATCTGAGATTGGATTTGCAGTTATCAAGATTGATGATGGTTGGATCCATCCTTTCAAAGCAGAATTACAACTAAAATTAGAATGCATTTATGATTTGGATCTAACGTTTGTACATAAGTTGTCGTAATCTTTGAGATAAATAAAAAATAAAGGTATTAAATAAATGCTATTTTATACGATAATATTAAGGGATAAATTGGAATATAAATGAAATGTTATTAAAATAAGTTAACAAATTTTAAGAAATTCAGATAACACATAAATTACAGAACGAAAATTATTATTATTCCAAAGACACCGAACCTTCCGCTACAAACAAAAGCAGTGAGTCCTTCAGTCGGCCCATGGGCCACGCATGATTAATTTGCTGGGTTTATTGTTTTTATTTGGAAGCCGTTGAGCAAGTCCAGACGGAATGCCCAGTGGGAATTATTTCGCAATCCGTTGACATCTGTCATTTTCAATCATATTTGCCTAGTATTGTTTCTTTTTCGACATGCATGCAAACAATAAATTATTTAATACTTTGGGAACCCAAGTAGGAATTACCTTAGATGTTGAAAACATCCCTTCGCCCTTTTTTTTTTTCTTTTTTTCTTTTTCGATTTTGATTTCTCTCTTCACCCGCCTCTAACCAGGAACCATTCAATATTCTGGAAATTAATATTATTTTTAAATAAATATAATATTTTAAAAATATATAAGAAATATAAAAAATATGGAACTATTTACTCTAAATGATAAAAAAAATGTTTTGTGAAACTTTCTATATATATTTTTTTCCCTTATATCGACAGCTATTCTTTTAAACAATTACATGAGAATTTTTTTTTTCATTCTTTTTAGAATCTCAAATTAATTTTATAAAAAATCCTATAAACGTATAAAAAAATTTAATTAAGGACTATTGCTATTATTATATTTATGTTTTTAATTTATAAAATATTGATTCAATATGAATTTTTATCCCTTCCAAACATTTTATTTGTAAAATATTACGATTTTCTTTAGCATCAATCAAGTATGAAAAATCCAATTTGATTTGTCTGAGAAGACAGGGCGTACAGCAGTGATGAAAAATCCACTGCAGGTCCACTTATCCTCAAGGTAAAAAAATTAAGCACTGTGCCCTGTCATTTCAGCTAGCCCACACGTGTATTCTTTTTCTCTTGTTCTAGGTAGCAGTTTGATCCACTGCAGTGGTTGTTGGAAAAATTTTATAATAATCAAGTGTGAATTATTATATATATAAAATAATTATTTTATATATCTATTTTTCAAAAAAGAGATAGAAAAAAAAATTATTAGCATGATTATAGGAGATCCGTTAGCTATATCATAAGAGATTTGTTAACATGATTATAACAATCTTATCAATCATGCATTTCTTTTCTAAACCAACTCAAATTCTCATGTATATGTAGCTGCTGCATATCTATACAGAACAGAGAAAATATAACACATGTAATTCTTTTCACCTTCTATGCTTCTTTCTCGCTAATATGGTATCGAGCCTAAGCTCTGAAGTCCGTTATATATAGCTTTCTTGCCTTTCCTTTTTTCGATGGGCTCTATTTTCCGTTATCATAGTTCGATTATTACAATTTGGAATTCTTTTTTTCTTCTTCTCGTCATGGAGAAATCCGATATTGCAAAACCTATTGCAAGCCGTGTTAACCGGCTCAAACTATAATCTTTGGGTTCAGGGGATGAAAAGTTTCTTGATGGGTCGCAAGCTTTGGCGTATTGTTATTGGAGATATCACTAAGCCAATCGGAGAAACGAGATGAAACTAATACAAAATTTGCGGATCGCCTTGAGGATTGGAATAGTAAAAATCATCGGATTATCACATGGTTTCGCAATTCCTATAGCCTTATCTATTCAAATTCAATTTGTTGATTATGACTGCGAAAAAGAAGTCTAGGATTTCTTGCTAATCAATATCAACCCGATGGACTTACCCACTATTGTCGATTGTGGACTACTCTTCATAATCTCAAACAAGAGTTTGGTCAATCCGTGAATGATTTTCTTACTCAAGTCCAACCGATTTGGAATCGGATATCTTAGACCAAAATCGGTGAAGATCATCTTCATCTCATTCAAGTTCTCATAGCTCTTCGACCCGAATATGAAGCTATTCGAGCCTCCTTGCTACATCAAAATCCACTCCCATCATTGGATATTGCTATTCAAGAGATTATTTTTTAAGAAACTCACCTCGGTCCGGATAAAACTCCTCGGTTTGAAATAGCTCTTGCAACCGGTTGATTCTCACATCGAAATCTAGAAATCACCTCTATAAGAATTGTAATCAAGCTGGGCATGCCTTTGCTAATTGTCCCACTATAGAATGCGAGTATTGCTATGGTCTTGGTCATATTCTTGAACATTGTCCCACATATCCTCCAAGATCAAAAGATGGGTTCTCTAAATCCAAGAATGTCCCGGAGATTGGATCTTCCTTTGTTACTACTGCCGCTACTATCGAGGGTTCTACTCGCCATCGTTATAAATGATCTTGAGGCACTACTCAAATAGGTTATCTCTTCCAATCCTCCTACTCGCCATGTCCGCCACCCCGGGTAACTCTCATTAGTTTTTTGATTCCGCATGTCTGTAACCAAATGACCAATAATATTAAATGTTTACCTTCCGTAATAGCCATTTCTTCTTTGCCACCAATCCACATAGCCAATGGTACTAAAATGAGCATCACTCACACCTGGTTATGTATCTACTTCTAATCTTAATCTTCCCGAAACCTACTACATCCCAAACCCGACACTCAATCTTATATATGTCGATCGATTATGTGAAAAATGACTAAATGTTACCTTTTCTTCCTTTGATGTTCGTGTACGGGATCCATAAACAGGATAGATTCTTGAGAAGGGTCTCGGGGTGGGTCGATTATTTAAGTTTGCATCTCTTCATCTTCCACGGAACCTTGTATTTGCGGCTACCACCACCAACTCCTCCATTCACCAATGGCATCTTCGTCTTGGTCATGCCTCAACTAGTAAAATTCAGCCTTTGATCTCTCGTGAACTGTTAGGATCTACAAAGTTTGAGTCATTTAATTGCTTGAATTGTCAACTTGCGAAACAACTTGCATTGTCTTTACCAATAATGATTTTATTTCTAATAGCCTTTTAGGTTTAATTCATTCGACATTTGGGGTCCTTCCCCTATCTCTTCGATAAATGGTTTTTAATATTTTGTGTTATTTATTGACGATTATTCTCGGTTCACTTGGATATATTTTTTGAAACAACGATCCGAACTATCATAAATCTATATTACATTTGCCAATATGATTAAAATTCGGTCTCTTCTACTATTAAAATTCTTCAAACGAGACAATACAATGGAATATCGAGTTTTTTCTGTACTTCGGTTTCTTAATCAACAAGGGATTGTTGTTCAACGTTCTTATCCTCACACCTCTCAACGGAATGGACGAGTTGAACAAAAGCATTGTCATATTCTTGACTCCGTTTGTGCTCTTCTCCTTTTTGCCTCATGTCTAGAAAATTTTTAGGGAGAAACAGTTCTTAATGTTGTCTATACTATTAATCGGCTTCCTACATTGGTTCTTCATAATTCATCTCCTTTTGAAAAATTGTTTGGTAAGCCTAACTATTTAAATCTTAAACCTTTTGGATGTGCTTGTTTTGTTCTCTTACAACCTCACTGAGCATACAAAATTAGAACCTCGTGCTTGTCTATATTGTTTTCTTGGCTATGGTATTGAACACAAAGGGTATCGTTGTTGGGATCCTATTTCTAATAAATTACGCATTTCTCGTCATGTTACCTTCTAAGAAAATACCATGTTCTCTTCTTTTTCCAAATTTCATCACTTTGTCAACACCGACTCTTTATTTTTCACCGATTCCTCAATCGAATTATTTCCAAATCTTGACATAGTTGACTCCGATGCACTTAATACTAACCCTCCTCCACTCGTCGCTCTTGAACCCGTACCAACCGTTGATCCCGCACTCGTGCTTGCATCCGCTCCTAACACTCGCTCCTCGTCATTCTAAATGAGTAAGAGAAACTCCTCATTATCTTACTAATTTCCATTGTTATTCCTTTATTGCAACCCATCATGAGCCCTCCTTTTATCGTGAAGCAAGTACTAACCCTCTTTAAGCAAGAAGCTATGATCGAAGAACTTCGAGCTTTAGAGAAAACTCATACTTGGGACTTAGTCGATCTTCCTCTTAACAAGATCCCCATTGGTCGCAAATGGGTTTATAAAATCAAGACCCATTCGATGGAACCGCCGAGCGTTACAAAGCTCGTTTAGTAGCCAAAGGATATATTCAAGAGTATGGCATAGACTATGAAGAAACTTTTACCCTAGTAGCTTGATTAACATCTATTTACGGTCTCTTAGCTATTCTCGCCGTTCGTCAATAAAAGCTTTTCCAGGTGGATGTCAAAAATGCCTTTCTTCATGATGATTTAAAGAAAGAGGTTTATATGTATCCTCCTCCCGGTTATCATTCTCCTCATAAGGTTTGTAAGCTTCAACGAGCCTTGTATGGATTAAAACAAACTCCTCGAACTCGGTTTGCCAAATTTAGCTCCACTTTTGATCATTTTGGTTTTGTTTCTAGTCCACATGATTCTGCATTATTCACTCAAAGATTTGATAGTGGCATTATGCTTTTATTAATCTATATTGATGATATGATCAT